TGTGAGGTAGCTACTAAGTAGTCTAATTTCAATCAGATACACATATTTAAATCTGGAATACATTACGCACATTATATATAACATAAATGTTACCACATGTATCATATGTAATAAATAATGTAAAAAATCAGAGGTAATGAAATATACACATTTCTACGCTGACTACAAATGACAAAAAAATTATGGATAATGTTCACCAAAAATCCTATGGTTGAAAGGACATGCTTGTTTCTTCATTATCTTATATAGCGAGTGTAACAAACTGTGATCTCTACTACCAATTTATGAACCAGCACAATGGTTTCCAGATTACGACTGCTGTTATGAATTTCTAAAGTAACTACCTCACACAGAAATAAACGCCACGGATTTAATTTTTTAATTTTATGTATTATGAAGGCCATGGATAGCTGCAGGAATATAAATGTATCGAGTTAAAAGTACAATCATCTTCTGCTAACAGAGATGCTAAGAAAAAACATGTAATGGAAGTACACAAAGTTGTCAGCTGTGGAGCAAATATGGTACAGTAAAACCTCACTGATTTCGATCCCATTACACTTAACACTTCAAAATCCTGTCATTACTAGCTAAGTTACTATCACATGGCCCTCTGAAAACTCAGTTATTTGTTAAATTCTGTATAGTGATGATTTCTCACTGCTGTCATGTTGAAATAATTTGTCAGAGACCCTGGTTAGCAAAATACAATTAAGAAACAAGCATAAATGTTTCTACTTTTGTAGATAATTCTAATTTTGATGATTAACAGAAAACCCCCAACAAACTTTTTTGAGGTCAGATGCAGCTTAGATTTAATTAGCATCTTGCATTGTCATGACCTCTGAAGTTGTAAAGCAGCTATATTATGAAAATTTGGATATCTAAGACAAGGCTGTGAAACATATGACTCACTGGCCACATGTGGCTACCAGATCAAAGTTTTCTTGGCCTGCAAGCACATATCAGTTTTCTTTAAAATAGGCTCGTGTCAAAAACTAAACTGATATATGAAATCACGACCTTTCAGATATGAAGGAGGAGCGTTTGCTTACACTGACTTTATTTTCTGATGTCAAGTACTTAACTGTTAATAATTCTTTCCAGGTTATTGCCTAATCCAGACTAGCCTCCCCCCGCTTTAGTCAAGACCAGTGACGTTTTACTGCATTTATGACACACAAAATCCGCTGACCTCAATCCATTCGGAGCTGCCCACGGCAGAACCCTGTTGTTTATTGAGCAGAAGATCAATCAGGATTTGAATCTCAGACCGAGAAAGCTCAGCCTTACGAACCAAAGGCACCAAAAGACTGACGTTTACACCCTCACGATCTCCACCTGCAACTCACAAACGTATCTCAGTAAGTAAGACTTGAGGTTCTCACAGCGGTGAGTATGAAGATATCCGTCTTCTGGGTTATTGCGCTGTGTAGTCTGGTCGATGTTAACC